TAAAAAGCTTTATATGTGATCAAGATAACGCTTTTAGATACATACAATTATTGAATGTCTAATTTAATAGGACTTCAAATCAAAGTCACTTATAAACAACTGGACAACTACTAATGATGGATCTATCTATCTATCTAAATAACTCTATAAAAGATAGTGATTCAACTGATTTTTATTCGTTCAACCTTTAATATTTTTATTTATTTTGTTTAACCTTATAGAAATTTTTTGAGCGTTAGAATTTCCTAGATTTTTAGATATTTATATTATTCAATCTATTATTTTTATTAATATTGTTTAACGTAAGTTACCATTTTTAGTTTCTATTATTTTTATTGATGTTTGTTACTTTTCAAGAAACTTTCATGATACAAAACGGGTCGGATACAAAACTACAAAAACGGTCCTACTTAGTATAAACGAAAAATACATTGTGATTCTTTAAATGTTTGTTTTGTTAAATGAGACTACTTCTTCCTAACCTTTATTAATTTGTGAGGTATTCGAAATACCTATGAGTAATTAAAAAGCCTCGATTAATTATATTAGTCATATAGTTGAGGTTTTAACTACTAAATAGGTAAGTACTTTCCTAGTATAATAGTCAAGTGATTAATTTCAACATTTTATTATTAATGGACAAAAAAAATCGAAAATAAAAAAGTAGTATGATATTAATAAAATATTATAATTTCGTAATATTTTCGAGTAAGTCATGGATTTTCATGTACAACGTAATGAAATACTGTAGTTAAACATTTTACTATTCAGGCCCGCCCGTGTATAATGAGTCATGTACATAAAATATCATTTAAAAACAAAATTCAGCAAAATCATGTTATACCAAAGGAAGAGCTTTCAATCTTTATTAAAAAACATTTAATTTATTCGAATTAGTTTGATTTATTAAAATATAAACAATTTCCTTAAAATGGCTCTCCTATAAAATTACTAAAATGTAGTTGACTCAGTATACTTAGGAGGTATCGATATTATCTGATTCACGGACCATTGTGAAACGCATAATATTGTTTACATCAGTCTGATCGGATTTTTCGAATATATAAAAGACAATCGTATTAAACAACAGAGTCTCGTACGTAATAAACAGAATAATTTTAAATGTATTTACATTATTATTAAGCATAACATATTCAAATGAAATACAGAACTGTGAAACAATATTAGTTCTGAGTTATGGCAATATGTAAAAACACATTCAAACAAAACAACTGTTTTTAGAGATGGATAGATTTTTTTCTTAAACGGACACAATTCAATTGAACACTTTTTTATGAGACAGAAGACTATCGCTCCTCGTTTTTCGGTTAAAATTGAGTGCTTACCGCAGCCCACCTGCAACACCAGCCTTGCGATTCTGTAACTCACTTTTCGAACTCACACAGCGGTTTTCGCATCGGCGGTCGCTCTCAAATCAGCCGTGAAGCAGTCATTTTATGATTTGGCATTCTGATAAACAATAAACTACAAGCTCCCACGTTTTCAGCTGCTGTGTGAGTTCGAAAAGTGAGTTACAGAATCGCAGGGCAGGACGCTTGCATTGCCGTACTTTAAGGATGGTACGATGGTTCTCTTGAAGGCCGTAGTCATAATTGTTCGGAAATACCTTGAATAGCAACTGGTGTCAGTGGTGGTTCGCAGCAAAAAGTGTACAAGCGCACTGTCATGGAACGTTAACCGTATCAGAACATGTACTAAATATAGTATTGTCTTTTATTGACATAACCTTTACACATTTAAAGAAAAAACTTTTTAACCGGATCTTTTAGTCGATACCAACTCCGGGGAAATTAATACAGATAATACAACTTTCTCTACAGCTGTGATACTTTTTGACATCCAACACCTTTTGTCTTCAGTCACCGTGACCACGCACGCTGTAGAGCACGCGAAACGTCGGTTAAATTTAAAATTATGTTAAATAATTGTAAATTTATAATAATACATAACTTTAATCCTAAAGTAGTTTAGTACTAAATATGTAATTTTTTATGTCAAAAGGTTTATTTATAATAACAATCTAGTATATAGTATTTACAATTTTCTTAACCTACAAAGTAATAATAAAAATGAATACAAAGATAATTAAAACAAATTTAAAAAGTTTGGTCCCAGTGGCAGTGTACCTTTAACGCTGGCAGCCTCGCTGTATTACGATACTTATTCATAACAAAATTATTTCTCGTATTTTTACAATTTTAATCTCACAGTTAAATATATCTTCATAAATATATTCTACGCACGAGACGTTTTCATAGCAGAGTCAAAAATAGTTCGATTACTAATATTCGATGTAGTATCATGAATCGAGCAGATGTATAATGTTATCGTATCGAACGATAAAAATCATAGTAAATTGTATCACTTCAATCAAGATTGCTTTAATATTTTATTGCTATTATTCGCACGATATAAACATCGTTGGTTAATTTAGCTAAATTCCGAAGGGTGTAGGGCAAAGTTTTTTTTTAAAAGCATGACTCACAGATACAGAATATCATTTTCGTGTATCAACGAAAAATCAACGTACAATCAACATAATTGACTTAATGTGCTATATAACCTCTAAATGGGGTAGAGGGCGTCCACAGTCAGTCTCCATCGCGTTCGGTCTCTTTAGCCTCGTATTTCACCTCGCTCCAAGTCTTTCCGGCTCTCTTTGCCTCATCTGAAACTGTAGGTTTGCTTGGGACGGTTCCGCTTTACTGCGGGTTCCAATAAGCTCCTGCTTGGGGATATAATTGGAATCTCTTCGGAGGGTCTTGCCTAAATAAATGGGGTAGAGGGCGTCCACAGTCAGTCTCCATCGCGTACGGTCTTTAGCCTCGTATTTCACCTCGCTCCAAGTCTTTCCGGCTCTCTTTGCCTCATCTGCAACTGTAGGTTTGTTTGGGACGGTTCCATTTTCCTTGCGGGTACCAATAAACGCCTGCTTGGGGATATAATTGGAATCTCTTCGGAGTGTCTAGCCTATCACTTGATCTGCTGACGATATTGACATTTCAAAGTTATATGTAACGGTCTTGCCTGGTGTTGTTACTATAGAAAAATCGGTAGTTTCAATGCTAGAGATTCTACCCTAGAGTCTAAGGGTAATCGAGCTGGTTATAGCTTATATTGCTCTTGGCTTTCGGAGCAGCAAATATTCCTGTGTGTGTGGAGAAAACTCTGTCAGAGGGAAATCATGTCTGATTCAAAGGTTGTAACTACTATTTTGATGATAGGACAGGTATATTGTACTGAATGAGAACAGGTCCATTGTATGAAATGCCCAAGGTATAGATTTAAGAGCGCCCTTCCCCGTCCGACGAACGTCATCCAGCGCAATGTCAGCAAGTGAGAACGCGATAACATTGAAAGAAAAATAGTGTGCGGAAATTTCATAAAACTTGTTCCAAGAAATACCTGTTTTTTCGTAATCCTTACAAGATTATGAAAAAAAAGTTTTACATTTAGAAACTCCATTACATTTGAAAGGCTTCTATGCAAATATTTCTTTCCGGTTACAATTAATGAGTACATTATAAACGCCCAAACTTCATAAAAAATTTGTGCAAAAAGGCTGATTTTTGGAGGTTTGTACTGAATTTGTTTCTTAAAATTTTGATTTCGCGTTTTAATAGAAACCTAGATATAGTGCACAAGGTGCCTATTAGTTCATAAGTTTCAAAGAAATATCTGTTACAACGCCAAAATCACGTACGAGCGTTTGTATGAAAAGATAGACGGGTTGGCCGCTCTTAAGGCAAATGCCCGTGAAGCACATGTCTCGTCTTATCCCTATGAATTATTCCAAGCCCATGCTATAACAGAAACTAGCATGCGTATTAAACTATTTATAATAATTTAGTATACCTATGCAATGCGGTATAACTTTTGCTACTCGAGTGGTGACTTTTGAGTCATCAGCTACGTTTTGTGCTGTCGAATATGATGAGTAACACGCAATTATCTTTAATAAATGTTATTTTATTTCTCAACGTACCATTCAAGAGGACTTTATTTCTAAGGCTAATTTTTTTTAATAACCTGATCCCTTTAAAAATCGTGCACCGTGGCGACCAATGCGTTATCATAATTGGAGGAATAGGAGGAGAGGTTAAAATTTTGTTTTTGTGTTTAAATTTGCATTGCCAGGAGTAAATCATGTCTTGTACCTTTATTATTAAAATTTAAATCATTGATAAATGTAAATATATCATATTGTTTTAATAATTGAGAATTTCTTCTTACATTGTAATGTAGTTTTAGCATGGCCTTTTACGGGAATTTAATTTAATTTAATTTAATCTTCAAGTGGCCCGTGAAATGTGAGCGGAAATAGGTAGAAATAGGCTAGGTAATATGAAGAATGTTCCATCAATTTGAACCCAGCTTCTTCAATGGCGCTATTCTGCGCACTAGTGTTTTTTTGTTTTTATTTTTTTTTATGGCTCTGGCACGGTTTGTGCATTAGCCAGCGTCAAGTATAAGATTTTTATAATTCGTGCTTTTTGCCTTAGAAATTCGACCATGTCCTCCATGTACGATTTGGGCACTCGCCCGGTACCGCACAACCTCCCAAAGGCCGAGAACAAATTTAAATTAAATTAAAACTTGCCCTCGAACCGGGAATCGAACCCGGTACCCCTCACCTAGCTGCCACTTAATAAGACCGCTAGGCTATGAGGCCCCCCGCGCGCTTGTGTTATTGATTACTTTTTTTAATATTATTTTTTTATGCCTGCCAGTACCTTTTTCTTTTCAAGGAGTTTATTCATATCCAAATTAGCATATTATGATATAACGAAAGTATATCGTAAAAAAAGCTTTGTCAAAATTTCACGAGTAAAATTATGACAATTTGAATATGCAATTTCCAAAATGACTTTGAAGTTTTTACTTACAGTCTGTTGAATTTTTGAACGACTTGCAAAATACGAAATTATTGTATAAAGTCTAATTTTATATAAACATTTAAAACTTTTTTCAGGTTTGTCATGATTTCGATGACCTCTCCAAAGTCTTCGTTGGCTAAACTTGTGTTATGTCCAAAGGTCAAGCCGTTTAAAGTTATGATCCTAGGACAGTCAGGAGTTGGCAAGTCTGGTAAATATGAATTTTGATAAGTATTATTAGGTCTAGGCCTCAGATTTCTGTATCTGATCCATAATCATTGGTGAATAGGTAGGCGATCAGCCTTCTGTGCCTGACACACGCCGTCGACTTTTTGGGTCTAAGGCAAGCTGGTTTCCTCACGATGTATTGAGGCGCGAGTGAGCGAATGTGAAATGCGCACATAGACAGAAAGTCTATTGGTGTAAAGCCGGAGACCGAACCTACGACGAGAGCCGCACAACACTGCTTAGATGTTCAATTGTTTTAATATTATATGAGCCGCACGCTAGAAGACACTAGGCCAACACTGGGTGTTTCCCCCTGGCGGAAACCAGGGGTCCCGGGTTGGGTCCCCGGGGGGGACGAAAATCGGTGTGATGAGCTTTTGGTGTTGTGCTTAGGTCTTGGATGTTCAATTGTTTTATATTTGTTATCGTCTAGTATATGCCCGGGGCCCAAACAAAAAAAAAAAAACCCAAAAAAAAAAAAAGGGGAAAAAAGAAAATTGGAAAAATTCTTTCTTTAAAAAAAAAATATAGTAAAGAAACGACTCATGATTCCGACCTAGGGAAGATGAAGGCATGAAGGCAAAATCCTTGCCAAACTTCTGAACCAACTCAGACTCAAGAAATTTTAATAGAGCATTAAGAATAGGTTTTTAAGGGATACGTTCTTTATATAGTGTTAACGTCTTGTACTTTACCATCTGTAGGTGTTTCTTTTTTATTGTTCCATACTGGAGTTGCCTGGAAGAAATCGCTTGTTAGCGATAAGGCCACTCATGGCCTAATAACTTATCTAACCTGCTTTTTTATATGTATGTTTTTGTAAAATTTAACGAAGTATAAATAATAATAAATAAAACAACTCAATGTTACTATAGCGACCCTTGCACTTGAATGAATTGCGCCAATCTGACAATGCACAATTTGTGAGCTAGGTCCAAAATTATGTCCAATTCAGTTTCTTGATTTGTATTTTCAAACCACTGGTTGATCTGTAGCGATTACGACGAATTCAGTAGAAAGTACGACACAATAACTTCATTGAAATAGCATACAAAAACGTCGGGATTGGAACTCCATTGGTAGAATAGCAAGCTCTCTTTATCTGTAGTGCTGTAATGCACTTGGGGTCGCGGTACATAAACTAAAGTCAGAGTCGAAGTAACAAGTGCAGTCTGCTCATGCATTTTAAACTAACATCATGTTTCATGTATGTATTTTTACCCCTAGATTATGAAATATGATCTTTAAATAACTATATTTTTCATTACAAAATATATATTTTCACACGAGAATTTCATAATACGAAAGAAATGCACTTGGATATCAGACAGCCGTACTAATTTTAGTCTTCTAACTTCTAAGCTCATCCTCTCGTTATCTACGGGAGATGAGACGTTTAGAAGCACGCTGGAGTTTCACTCCTACGTAATCGACATCCCCAGGTGTCACACTGCACGATTTGGTTCGTCGTTTGTTATAAATAACATAAACATAACCTTTTTGCTGTGCGTTCGGCTCGCACTGTCCAGCGTCAACAAGCTCGACTCTTCACCGGACAGCGACCTATTTGGGAAGTGTATGGGGGTAATATACTGTGATTTGCGAGTATACTTGGAGGGGATAAGAGGATAGCATTAACTGTCAATTTTGTAAATAACTTAATTGTGGTTTTATGTTGTTTTAAGTCTGAGTTTTGCCATGCATGTGCTGTAAATAAATAAATAAATATAACAAAGTTGTGCAATTCCTTGCCCTCTTCGATCTTCCCTAGACAGTATAATATGGGTACATTTAAGTGGCAGCCCAAACCTGGACAGGCATGCCCTCCAATAGGCCACATCTCACTAAACATCAGGTGGGATTGTGGCCAAACGTCTGACCAGGTCTATATAACAAATATCACCATGGGCACAATTTCTGAAAGTGAATTCAAAACTATATTCATAGGTGTTTTGCATTACAGCCTTGGTGGTACGATTTATTACTCGACGATTCATCGGCGAATATGATCCCAATTTGGAGAAAATCTACACTTTTCAAACGGTAATTGATAATGAAATGGTTTACTTTGAGATACTCGACTCTGCCGGCGACCCACAAGTGAGTACTTGGTTTATATTACATTTTCTTATTGAAGTTATATAGGGCGACAATAATTTGATGTTTAAAACTCCTGCATCATTAAAACGAAGTTTTTGCGAACAGAAAAGTGTCGACTGTGTTGCTGAGGTATTTTGTTTCACCGTGAATTTCCCTTCCCATGATAAAACAGAATTCAGTGGTGCAACAACAAATACACACAGGTGATCAGCCTCCTGATAAAATAAATCAATAATCAATGGCGCTACCTTTTTAGGTCTGGGCCTCAGATTTATGTATCTGTTTCATGACAATTTGGTAATCTAATAGGCAAGTAGGATAAGGCAAGCCGGTTTCCTCACGATGTTTTCCTTCACCGTTCGAGCGAATGCTAAATGCGCACATAGAAAGAAAGTCCATTGGTGCACAGCCGGGGATCAAACCTACGACTTCAGGGATGAGAGTCGCACGCTGAAGCCACTAGGCCAACTGCTCACAGCCTCTTGATACATTTGATTAATGTCTGAGTCCAAGACATGAGTTATCGAACGATTGCCTTTACCGAGTCAGTACGTAACAATAAAATTCAATTGTCATGATACGAACGTAAACGCTAACATTGCCCGTTCATCGTGTTAATTAAACTATTCTATCAGAGTTTAATAATTATTTAACTAATAATAATTAGTTAACATTAAAATACATTTTTTTGACGACTTCTACCGTCCAAGCTGGCCCTGTTTCACTGTTAACAGATGATGTGTATTGCCACCTAAATCAACAGATTATTTTTTTCTAGAAATGCGAAAGCTTGGAAAACCATATAAAATGGGCAGAGGCATTTGTCTTGGTATACTCTGTGACAGATAAATGCTCTTTCGACGAGTGTCATAGACTAAAATTTCTAATAAATTATAATAAGAGGCGGCGTAGGCTCGCTTCGTCGCTAAAGGTTAGTTATCTAATACAATTACGAATTCATTATTTACAGGTTATCCTAGGCTTCACTAAGAAAAAAATTGTTCTATTTTTAAAATATATAAAACTACCTGTGGGTAAAAGGCTGAAACAGCCCCATATTATTGACATTTACAGAACCCATATATCACCTATGAACGTAGGCATTGGACGATGCGTTCTCGCATATTATATGTATTTTAATATAAAAGTCTTTCCTCCAACTTTGATTTTGTTCCCTTTGGAGGAGGTTCAAGTGCACAGGCGCTTATTAGAGATTTAAGTTGGCGTCTGGTAGCTGGTGTTTTCTCGCTCAACGAATAAGTATCGCAAAACAGCGAGGAAATGCTCCCAGAGTTAAAGGTACACTGCCACAGAGACCAAACTTTTTAAATTCGTTTAAATTTTCTTTTTAATAAATTTTATTATTTTTATTATTACTATAGGTTAATTAAATTGTAAATACTGTATATTTGATTGTTATGATAACGAATAAAGTAATATCGTTTAAATAAAGTTCCACTAAAATTATTTCAATATCCAAAGAGGTTACATTGGGATCTCGGATTAAGAATCTAGATATTGAAGTATGTATAGATAACAAAGCCGAAATCCGTTCATTAACAGAACATGTGGGAATCAGAAGTTGTTTCCTTTATTAGTAATTTAATTAATGCAAAGGTTTTGTATGTAAATTCCGTCAGAAGCGTTATGTTGCCCCTTATCTCCATGGCAACCACAGGTTTTAATGTATTTTTCATTACAGTTTAGGCAAGTAGCCTTTTATGATTTTTGGGTTTAAGATATTGGTTTCCTCAAGATATTTACGGTTTAAGAGTAAATCACGTATATCAAAATAAGAGTTATGTATGGTATAGTTTGCTAAGGCAATTTTTGCTGCGCATCACAACGCAGCTGCCCACTGAAGTATTTCCGAACTAATTCGACTAAGGGTCAGTTCTTAAAAGTTCGGCAGCGCGCTTGCGAGCCTTCTGGCAGTGTGAGTTTCCATGAGCGGCGGTATCACTTAATATCGGAGCCTCTTCCCCGTTTGCCTCCTGTAACATAAAAAAAATGTATTAAAAACGAAGAAAAGTAAAATTATTGAAAAACTAACATATTCTTTATCAATCAGTTGTATGGTCATATAAACTCTTTTGCAAAAAAGGGTTTTTAAGGAAAATTACGTTCTAAGGTCGATTCCAGTTAATTAAATGAAATTTAATTGTCTGACGTAATCTGTATACAATCGTGTAAATTAATACGCGTGAAGTGTATTCTGGCAATTGTTTTATCAATTTTCACGAATTATTTAAAACCAATTGGTCGGTAATAAACAAGATATTTTTACTTTTTTAAATTAAATTCAAATTCAAAATCATTTATTAATTTAGCTAACAAAATGTACAATTATCAATATCAATAAAGAAATACATATTAAATACTAAATGCTTCAAATTTTACATTTACTGCCAATTCTCAAATCAAGGGCGTAGAGCAGACGAGAAGAACTGGCAATAACCTAATAACGAGTCTGACCTTCTCTTGCCAAAATTATAGCTTAAATTCTTCTCCCTAATGTTTTGGGCCCCAATTAATTCGACGGAGCGTACGCAATACCGTCTTCACCATAAGGGCACACGGGGCCCGGGCCCAAGGCCCCCATTCTCAGGGGGCCCCGAAGGACCGACAATTTCTCTCCCACATTTATTCAAAACATTTTTGTCGGGCACATTACACTTTTTTCACAAATCAGTAATCAAAAAAGTTATCAGAAGATCTCGAAAGAAACCGTTATCGTAATCGTAACCAAAAAACCAGCAGCATTCTAATATCATTAATGACATAATATATCATACCATACTTGATGACCAAATTTATATTAAATTATTATTTTTTATTTAATTTATTTTTATTTTATAATAAATGGTCATACTTAGTAATTTTTTTTATTATAATTAGCTTTTTTTTTCTTTCCAAAAGGGCCCCAAATTCTTGTGTGCCCAATGGCCCCAGCCTAGTTTAAGACGGCCCTGAGCGTACGCGCTTAATTTTCGTAGTACGCAGGAAACATATATATTGTATACGATAAAGCGATATAATTACTATATATAACTCTTGTATGCCGTATCATACTTATTTCATATGGAAATAATATAGAAGGGCGCCTTCTAATAATAAAACAATCTATTTTTATCTTTTATCTAAGTATTCACCGCATTTAATATGTTATGAGGGCACGATATTACAGATATCTAAATATATATTCTATATAAAACTGTTATTGAGATACAGTATAATTTTTTTCATAGACAACGTTTTTTGTAGCTACATACCAACATATGGAACATTTTTCTATGCTACCCCCATAGAACTTGTTCGCTTTTCCAGAATAATACCCTAAGTACTAAATTAAAACAAATTTTTCTCTGGATGAAAACCTTTCCCAGAGTTCGAGGAATAAATTATAAAAAAATACTCTTTCTTCTAATTGGTCCAGCCGTCTTCGATTTAGCAACATATTTTGAGATTCATTTTTATTTTTATAGATTATTGATGTCCAAGATTGATTTGTTCATTAAATGTGATAGTTAAACATGGATAAATATGAAACTAAAATGGTAAATTCATTTTCGGTTTATTCAAACCTAAACATAACAATCAAGAATTGATAATGTTCCTAACCGGCATAGTAATAATAAAGAAAAATAAATAAAACAAATTTAAAAAGTTTGGTCCCTGTGACAGTGTACAAACGCTGGCGGCAATTCCTCGCGATAAATTAATATAGATTTAAAAAGTCTGGTCCCTGTGACTGTGAACCTTTAATGCTGTCGCTGTATTGCGATACTTATTCTTTAATTAGCGCCCGTGCACTTGAATCCCACGTCTCAAGAGTCTCTATTCCAACGAGAACGAATCAAAATTGCAGTAAAGACTTATATTTTTGATTTTGAATATTGACTTATAAAAGTCATTTTAGTAACAAAATTCATCTAGGCAAATACTTTTCACTTTTAAAAGCTATTATGCACTGGATTAAAAAATCCTTTCTAATCAGAAGTATTGAATTAAAATTAAAAATCAGTGGCGCTACAACCTTTTTAGGTCTAAGATTTCTGTCTCTGTTTCATGATCTAATAGGCAAGTAGGTGATCTGCCTCCAGTGCCTGACACACGCCGTCGTCTTTTTGGGTCTAAGACATGTCGGTTTCCTCACGATATTTTCCTTCACCGTTCGAGCAAATGTTAAATGCGCACATATAGGGTGTCTCAGTAAGAGTGCACTTTTTAAAATTGTAATATTTTTGTTTTCCTGCAAAGTGACGACTCTGAAATTTGACAGGTGTCACTTCTGTTTATTCCGATTATTAAAAATGGTGCGCTTTTTGAAAGAACAACAAGTTATAATTGTGAAAACTCATTACAAAAGTAACGGTGAAAACGCTCGCAAACTTCACCAAATTTTCAGCCGAGAAAGTGCACCTAATGTGTCAACCATTCGAAGAGCGGTCAAAAAATTTTAAGAAACTGGGTTAATTATGGATAATAAGAATCTTTTGCGTCAACGTACCGGTCTGTCCCTTGAAAACATTGCTGCTGACTGTGTAAACGAGAGTGTCGCCGAATACCCGAAAACATCAATTCGACGCAGCAAATTTTGACTAAAGACCTTCATGCGTACAAGATTCACTTAACTCAGAAGCTCAAACCAGCAGACCAAGGAAAGCACCGGCAATTTTCTCAATGAGTAATGGAGCAAAGGGAAGTCGATCCAATTTTTCGAAAAAGTATTTTCTCCGATGAACAGAACACATTATCTCACGAAATTCTGATGTCAACTGCCACCAAGATGTGCGATTTAACGCCGTGCGATTTTTTGTTTGGGGTTTTGTGAACTCTGAGTTTATGGAATAAACCGAAAGATTTGAGCTCAAATGGAAATCAACGCGTATGGTGAGATAACCACATCTCTGTGCAAAAGTCATGGAAAATTTATAAAAGTGTAAAGTATGTGAGATGAATTTTATTCCATACTTAATCGGAAATTCTTCTTTACAATGCAATAAAAATATCAGAACTCTGTATAAAATACTTGTCTTTATTTAAAAATGAAAAAGTGCACTCTTACTGAGACACCCTATAGAAAGAAAGTCCATTGGTGCACAGCCGGGGATCGAACCTAAGACCTCAGGTATGAGAGTCGCACGCTGAAGCCACCTGGCCAACACTGCGCATTGAATTAAAATTACCCCGACATTTAGCCTACACCCTTTAATATGAATGTCAACAAGATCAAAATAACCTTTTTAATTAAATGTATATTGGAAAATTTTTCCTTTGGCTCAATTTACACAACAGAGCTCCATTATTTTTCAACTTTGAGGAAAACTTTCGCGAGGTTTTAATTTCAAAACATTATAAGACTTCCAATAGGTATTTTTGGGAGCATATTTATTTAATTGTGAATATCGAAGTAGTATTTCGTTCTGGCTAAGAACCAGTGACTGCTGCCTATTCGACTGTAGCAAACTGAACTAATTTATCTAGAAGCTATTTAGAATCGAAATATCCTATTATATTCACATTGTGAAATTATATAATATAACATACTATATATGCTTACATACATACGGGGCAATCTAAAAAAAGATAACAAAAACAGGGGAAACATTTTGGCATTATAGTTTCAAATATACCTCTACAAAATTAAATAATACCACTGGAAAGCTAAAGGATCAAAAAATTCATGCGATAAACGATAAGTGAGATAAGCGGTGGAGGGGGAAGCGCCGCCATTTTGAGGATATTTTGCTGTGTATCGAGATTTGTTATTAGTAAAATTTTTGCCTCGGAGAAACTTCGATGTTCCTTTAAGTTTTAATCACCAGCTGTCGTCAACATCTATCGATTATAACATAATTCACGTACAACACACGGCCGTGTCCATGACACAGCCTACATGAATGAATCAGTTCCTACATTTCTGTTTCACGTTTCTGAGTACGCATCTGAAGTTTTTACAGCAATAGACAATAGTAGTCAGTGAGAGAAAATTAAAAATTATCTACTGCCGGGAAGTTGGTACTGACGATGTTTTTGGAGTTTACTCCTTAAGAAACGATTTGAGTTATAAGGCCCGGTACGGAAATTTTATGAGGAGTAAAATCAAGTGTAACACGAAAAGTTGAGGCGTTATGTAGAAAGAGACAAACATATATATCTGTAGGATTGAACGTGTAAAAGAATGAGATGGAATACATTACACAGACTTTTCTATTTTGAATTCACGTTTTGACAGCCACGTTACAACATTGTCAGTGTTGACAGGTGTAAAAAAAAAGTAGATTGTCTATGCCATAGACTTTTGTCAATAGTAATGGTCAGTGAAATTAAAACTAGAAAAATTGTTCATTCTTATTCTTCTCTTACTATAAAGGTAACTTTGGTCACAGAAAGAAAATCCTATTTGGGCATAGATGATGTAGGTACGATTTATTACTACTAAAAACATTTATATTATAAAAACATATATTCTTACCACCTTTAGTATGAAAATATGGTCGACAGCCACAGAACATTATCGCCATCTTTGTTCTGCAGTGCATTTGATACAAGCCGAAACTATAAGCCTGGGAAACACCACAGCTTATAAAGTATGGAAGTCGTTCGTGCCGTTTTGTATAGAAATCAAGATTTATTTTAAATAACATACTTGATGTAATACGCTTTATTGAAGTAATATAAATAATCCAAATAATTACAGATACATGTTTGATTCTCTTATCATTTTAGCAGATGCGTTCATTTACCCTTTTTTTCTATTCGATATATATCATAATAATTATCGTTCGTAAGGAGTAAACTCCAATCGTGCGTCGTAGCTGACACACACACACTTTTTTATTTATATACTAGTGGACCCCACAGACGTTGTCCTGCATGATATTTCAACCGATTAAGATATTAAACAAAGTATGAAAGTACCGACTGCAGCGCCATCTGTCGGGCTGATTTGTGAATCTAAACCATTCCCAGATCCCCTTGAACACACACAAAAAATTTCATCAAAATTGGTCCTGTCGTTTAGGAGGAGTTCAGTCACATACACACGCACAGAAGAAATATATATATTAAGATTTAGTGCTTGCATATTAAATTCAACTTATTAATTATATTTTTAGGATAATATTCACGAGACTCCCGTAGTGCTAGTTGGTAATAAAGTGGATCAGGTTGGTGATCGTATGGTGACGACTGAGGAAGGCCAGCGACGGAGTAAAGAAATCGGTTGCGTTTGTTTTCATGAAATTTCCGTGAGAGAGAGCATTGATCAGGTAATTTACACTTATATTTGAAGTTTTTTGTAGGAATCTATGAAAACTATTTGAACCTTAAAACACTTCTTTAATGGCATTTTACATGTGGCAATTTATTATGTTGTAACTACCTTTCCAGAAACCGTCATTAGGGAGTGACTACACTTTGATATTTGACAGAAAACAATATATCATGTTATAGATCAAATAGTGGGATTAAGTATTAAATGTTGGCTTTTTAACGCAATCGAATGTAGACATAGACATAACATTTATTACAAACGAAAACACACACACATAAACACACAAAATAACAATACTTAAAGAAAACATAAAATAAAATAAGACATCAAAAACAATAAAAATTAAAAATTAAAATTAAGAAATATTCTTTTGCCATTCGGTTCGCTTCCAGTGTGCAATGTGTGTGTACTGTGGTTGTAATTGGCCCTGGCTCAGCATTATGCTGAGGAGCAAAAAGTTCCACAGCGCTGGTCATTCACTGATGTCGCAAATTTTTAATTTTTTAAAAATTCTTAAAATCCTAAAAGATTTTTACGATAATGACATAAAAAACTGAGTACATACCCTGTCTTCTAGTGTTTAATTTGGGCACCATCTATAAACAGAAATTGCTGTTCTTTTGTCTCGCTAAAGCTCGAGAATGGCTGGACCGATTTTCGCACATAATAAGTAAATAATACTAAAATCGACAGTTGAATGTTCCAATATAATAAACTGTTCATAGCTGAGAAATATTTGATGTCTTTTGTCGAGAAATAAAAAATTGTGACTCGGTTGTTGTATACATATTTAATGATGATGAATGATGCCTTCAGAAATTTGTTCTTCAACATTTTGATAAAAAAATTTGTATCAAGTTTTGACACAAATATGTAGGTGATACGTTCACCGGGTCATGTATTTTTAAAATTAAACTCGCCTTTATTCATTAATAATAATGTGTAGTACTCGCACAAACTAAAAACATATTGTTTATATATATAGCAACATTATTCTTGACAGATTTATATTTGTGTTTTTTACGCGACTGTCAATATTTGTGTTTTTCCGTTTCCGTACGAAGTTGGCAACCGCCAGTTTATTTATATTATTTACAGGTTTTTTTATTTAAAACAGATGCATAAACATTTTTTACACTCAATGTCAGAATTAAAGGTCTGGAGGTCTCGGTATGTGTCTAAAAAAGGAATAGAGGCCCTGACCCCAAATTATTTTCCAAAAAAAATGAAAAAAAATCAGTCGAGTTTTCCAATAAACCTTTATTGTTAAACATATAGATTATTTTATTACTTCTTTTATTATAAAAGACTCTTTTGTGGGCCTCCTAAATTCGGGGCTTAATCATTAAATTTATTTTAAGTATAAAGCTAACTTGTAAAAGTTTAAGAAGATTCAAAATTCATTTTAAGCCTAAACTTAGGGAAAATAATTCATATTCACAGTTTAAAAATCTCTGGAATTTAAATAACAGAATTTTAAAATTTTGCGTAAAACATTTTTGTAAACAATTTTTCTATGTTCAAGATTTTATAACGATTTCATTCACAAATCACAATCTTCTATTTATTACGATGACGTAATCGTCAAAATACGTCCAAAATACCAAGTGTACATGTGGACAAATGACTAAGGGCGGCTGGACAAGTTGTTGGATTCAGATGGCTGTACATCCACTACCAGTCCAGTCCATATATAAGAGAGACAATGCCCAGCAGGGGATGTCGAATCGAGTGAACCTTCAGTCTACTTCCAATACAAAATTGAAGTCACTTTAGAAATCGATAACGTTGGCCTTTTTTAATCAAACATTAACATTATTTGACTAATAACCAGCGTAAAAATTTTACCACAAAATTATGTCAACTACAACTCTTAAAATAATTAACCCGAAGTACCTATAAATTGATTTACAAGTTATTAAATTCCGATTGAAGAAACCGCTAGTAAAATGCAACAAGGTTTTGTGTAAATTAATTGGCAATTTACTGCGGAAATGTACAACGGAAAATATTTTACGTTATAGGTTAGATTTGTTTTTATAACTTGATGTCGGGCCTACGCGCCATTACGATTTATGAGTTTATTTTAAGGCCTCTAAAACAAAGTTACTGCTGATCTTAGGTTTTTTTTACAAAGGAACTCTAATAGCCTATCAGGCACGCGATCGGGCAGATCTGTGGTTGAGAAGCTAGGCTGCAGTGTTAAATCTCCTCTTTCCTAAAAAGGGACTTTATTTCCTTAAACTATGTATGGTGGGTTTGGCGTCTCCCGCCGACCCCGGGAGACAACTGCCTTGCGATTCTGTAACTCACTTTTCGAGCTCTCGCGATAGCATTCTGATAAGGAGGGAGCTTGTAGTTTATTGTTTATCAAAATGCCAAATCGTAAAATGACTGCTTTACGACTGATTTAAGCGCGACCGCCGCTGTGAAAACCGCTGTGTGAGTTACAGAATCGCAAGACTGCTCCGGAAATATCCTCATGTTAGTGTGTGTGAGTCGGACCCCGCTAGGACCTACGTCACCTCCTGCGCTATTCAGCTTACTGACATATTTGACAATTCTTAGCATAATTATGCCAGCTACGATCTGTGCTCGACCAACATACCCATCACGGGATACCCTCATGCCAGTCTCTTGCTCCAGATCACCCAGTTTAAATCAGTGTGATCAAAAATCCCACTATTTGATCTAGAAGATTCAGAGACGTATTGTATTTTTTAAACTAGCGCCCTGCATGTTCACGTTGATTCGGTGGTAGCAATTGAGATTATATTATTTCTCAATATATTGGTATTGGTTTATCACTATTTTTAATCGATATCAAAAAATCTAATGGAGGATATTAATTCGACGATTTTTGTCTAGTCCGGTCTTGTGTTATTCGCGTTTTATATTTAAAATAAATAATTTTCCCTATACGAATTCGTTTGTAGCAATTTAATGCAGTTATTGTAAGTGCATACATAAATTCGGTAGCGGTTCGTTTTTATTTTTATACCTAGACGTAGGATCTGATGATAAAACATTTTGTTTTGTTTTTCTTGTTAGCTTCGTACATATTATAATAGCAAAAAAGGAAAATCGAAAGATGGATTGCTAACAAGCGACGTCTCCCTGTAGTTATATTTAATGATTAAACATGAATTACAGCGAAGAAAATACATTTTCTCGTTTATGAAAAAATATAATAACAAATGTAATGCCCCGATATTCCACGTACATTAAGGACGGTAAATTTATATATATTGATGTAATATAGATTTATCGTTTATTAAAACCTAAACATAACAATCAAATAATAAGTAATCATGAAAATAATTAAAATTAATTAATAGAAAATTAAAATAAATTTAAAAAAGTTTGGTCCATGTGGCAGTGTACCTTCAACGCTGGCAGAATTTCCTCGCTGTATTGCGATACTTATTCGTTGTGTGAGGAAATCACCAGCTCTGGGGTCACTGGATAATATTTATATCTTCATGCCTTTTCCCGGTAGGCTTAGTCGTGGCGGATTTATAGATTTGCCGCCCGTAGGCTATTCAATTTTTGCCGCCTCTAAATTTTGAGATCTTAGTCCACAATCATATCTATTTTCTATCAATAAAATTCCAACTTTATAATTTGTGCTCTATCATCCTCGTTACATCAACTTTTACCATATAGTTATTATTATTGAGAACTATGGTACCGTGTTAGATCCTTGATTATTTTTACAGCAAAGAATTATCAAAAAACATTATTTTAAGGAAAAAATATCTCAATCGTATACCGTTAAAGTAAGGTAAGGTATGTCTTAAAACTATACAATACTTACAAAATATGAATTAAGTTACGTAAAAAACATACCTTTGGCGAACGTTGATTAACATTTATTATTACACTCACAGTTTAAAAACAATACAATAAATATATCTTTTCTTTATTATTTGTTAGCATTATGATTTAAGTTAAATTATAAAAGCATTACATTACTTTTTTGCGAGACTTTGAATTCGCAAAATCATTTATTATATCGTCGTACGAAATCTTGTTCATTAGCTCTGACTCTATGCACAAGAGAGCTAAAGCGTTTAGCTTTTCTTGACTTAAAGTCGATCGTAGGTAGTTCTTTACTCTCTTCAAGCAAGAGAAGCTTCTTTCTCCTGAACAATTTGCCGCTGGAGTACAAAGAGCCATACGAAGTGCTATATCCAAGTTTGGATAAATGTTTCCTAGTTTCTGTTCTTGCAGGAATGAAGAGAGACTTATTAATGATCCAGAAATTGGTTTTATTGAAATTCTTTCAGACGTAAGGTTGAATAAAAAATTGCAGCTGAGTATTGTTTTATCTTATTATAATTAATTCATTCCGATTGGCATTTTCTGAAAAAGTTGGCTTTCAAATCTACTGATGTAAACATTTAATTTAAATAATTTGTGTACGACATGAGCGCTTAAGGCCTGCTCATTTGGATGTTCCAAACTTTTTGTTACTGCAAATAAAATTATAACCTGATAAAATGTATCAATTTTCTAATGAGCAAATTGTCTCACTTCATATTTTGTGGAGGGAATTTTTTTATTGTCAAGTCACAGTCGTTCAACTATCAGTTATTTGATTATTATGATCTCTATAAGATATTGAACTAGTTTTATATTTAATAAAAATTAGTCAATTTTAGTCAGTATTTTTATTAGACCATCGATATTATATCGATTGAATTGGGTAAGCAGATCTCAAAAAATTATAGCAGTTATCAGTGAAGAATATATGTAAAAATTACTAAATTTCGATTATAATATCGAATCGCGATATTCTAAAAGTTCATAATTATTAATGTATAATTAGTAAAGCGTTTAGGAATTGTTCATGCAGAGATGTTAAAATATTTATTAATTAGCACTGTATATGAGAATATTTAGATTTTTGTTAAATATTTTAATTTCTCTCCAATTTACGAAATTCGTATTATGTGTGTGTATAATATTTTTTTTTAAATTTGTAAACCGAAATAAAAAATTTATGAACTAAATTTGCCGCCCCTTAAAATTTGCCGCCCTAGGCTCCAGCCTACTCAGCCTGCTGGTAAATCCGCCACTGGGCTTAGACAACGGATCTCTTACTCACTCCTGACATACCTTTTTCACTTCAATCACTTTCATGACATCCATGCATACTCGTCGGTTATGGCTACTTTTAACGTGTCTCTACTCTGGTACTTCCTGGATTTAGTCCATTTGTGTTTCCTATATTGTGTTATTCATATACATACTAATTTCTATAAATTTATCTTCAAATAGACACGAGAGTAATGGCAAAGCAATGCAATGAATTCGTTAGGAAATTTTAATATGCCTTCACAGATTAGTAAAAACTTTTTCTCTATACTCATACCAAAAACAATAGAACTATTAAGAACTATAATAACATGTATAAAGATAGCTTCGCTGCAACTCTGTTTAGACCGATCTGAACAACTGACTACTGACGTCTATGAGAACTAGACCAAGAGTTCTTGTTTCTGAATATATCTTGCTATCAGCTAAGTCTTGAATTTACAATAGCGATAAATAAAAATAAATCATTGGTCATCACAACCTTTTTAGGTCTAGGCCTCAAATTTATGTATCTGTTTCATCATCATTTGTCAACCTAATAGGCAAGTAGGTGATCAGCCTCCTGTGCCTGACACACGCTCGACTTATTGGCAAAGGCAAGGTTTTCGGTTTCCTCACGATGTTTTCCTTCACCGTTCGAGTGAATGTTACATTCGCACAAAGAAAATCCATTGGTGCACAGCCGGGAATCGAACCTACGACCTCAAGGATGAGAGTTGCACGCTGAAGCCACTAGGCCAACACTCCCAATACCGATTCTGACTTTAATGAAGATTTTGTAGTTTGGGCATTCCTGATAAGTCACGTAACGTTATCGATTTTTTTACAATTTCAGGTTTATGGAGTATTCAGGGATGCGCGTAGGTTTTGGCGGGTGGGCAGCAAGTGGTCCAGAGGCAGGAGCGAGTCAGATATCACCAAAGCACTGACGAGGCCTCTCTCCCGAGCAGCTTCCGATACCACAGACCCGGGCACTGTCATAGCTACATCGTTGTGTTAGTATTTTAACTAATAATAATAATAAATCGTTTATTTGCAAGAAAGCGGTACATTTAGATCGATCAATTATTAAAATCCGCACAATCAGCCATACCCTGACGGTCGTAGGTCGATCCCCGGCACTAATGGACTTTCTGTCTTCCTGTCTAACACACGCTCTCGCGGTGATGGTACACATCGTGAAGAAAGCGGCATGACTCAGATCAAAAAAATCACTGACATGTGACAGACTGATCACTTATTTGTCTATTAAATAAAAACAAGCAATCTAGCTTGTAGCGCCACTGTGTTATTATTTATTATTTTACCAAATTGTAGGATACACAGTTTTTATAAGCATTTGCGATATTTGTTTTAAAATAAGTGTTGTTTGATGATTTGCTATTTTAAAAGAGTACCGAGAGCTTTTTACGTCGGCTTTTCTTTCGGCCTACACCCTCCTTGTTTGCCGATGAGTAGGGATGTCTATCTTTTCAAATTTAATGACGTGGAATAAGTAATACCTGTGTCTTATATTCCATAATAAACATATTTTATTTTTATATTTTTAAGGCACTTCAAATAACATGTCTGAAAATATGAATAAAATAGGTAAACGAACGTTGTATTCTTGATATATATTTTCATAAAGTAATAATTATGCTATAAAGTACAGTATTTTACATCACTAACTCAATTAAGGTAAATTTCTACTACTGTACTTTTAAGTAGTAAAGATAAACTAATAATTATAATTGAATTCCACCCGTATTATCTATCTGGAACCAGCTGCCCACTGAAGTATTTCCGAACCAATACGACTTAGGGTCCTCCAAGAACAGAGCGTACCAATCCTTAGAAGGCCGGCAACGCACTCGCGAGCCTTCTGGCATTGAGAGTGTCCATGGGCGGTGGTATCACTTAACATTTGGTGAGCCTCCTGCCCGTTCTATTGAAAAACTTACAAAGTATAGTTCATTGGGCACTGTCGACATATATTTAAAATCAATGTAACATTTAAATAATACTTTTTCTGACGTGTTTTAATCTGAATGTCAAAAATATTCCAGGTCGCCGCTGGACCGAATTTGACTTTGAAGAAGAAAGAGAAGAGATCGAGGGTGTTAAGCGTAGCGACTCCAACTCTTCGTGTGAAAACGTGGATCAGTTTAGGGCTAGAGCAAGTACTGATTCTAGGCTTCCACCTCGGCCTACAAGGTCTAGACATCCGCCGACCTCGGGGTCAAATACCCCTATTAGAAGAATGAGTGTTGCCATGAGAGGAAACAGTTCCAGTGCATATTAAATTAAATATTTGTGCTATTGTCTTTTATTCTAAAGAGATAGATTAAAACTGTCGGGATGTTTTGTATGCTTACTGTTAATGTTTAACCTCCTAAACAGATCTATTTGCGCAGTTTTGACTAAAGCCCTCTTTTATTTGTGAGACGTCCGTGGAAATTTCATATAAATATATTTATCAGGCCAATTTATGGTTATAGAATCTTATCTTTTCTTTTTATTTCTGCTACTACTTTGAATTTCTCCACAGACATATTAATTTGTTTGCAGAGACTATTTACCAGACGCATAACTATACCATCTGGGGCCCGTGGCAAATTCTTTTGATGGGGCCCTATCAGTAAAAATCGTCACGTTGTACTCAGTTTAATTTTAATAAACTTTGAGATTTTCAGCGTACTCAATTACACGTTGTATATGTCATATATATGTGTATATGCCATAGGCCTCCTCGCTTAGGCGAGAGGGAATGGTCTGTATGTAGTCCCCACGCTAGCCCAATGCGTATTGGAGACTTCACATTCATCCATAGAACATAATATCTCTTGGGCAGGGGCCCTCTTGGGTCGGGGCAACGGCATTCTGCCAGCCATCCTATTGTTACGCCACTGCTATTTACAGTTATACAACATAAATAAGAAAAGATAAAATAATTCAAAGAAACAACGAAATTAAGATAAAAAGTGCCTACGGTAATTTAAGTTTAACTTCCAGAAACTTCTTGAAAAGATTTTACTAACCATTTAAAATTATTTATTAGCGACAAGAACCTACACAAATTTAGTTTTAATTATATTATTGGCTTTAAAAATTAAAATTGAATTTTCTAGAACCCATCAAAACGCTTCTCTATGCAAGATGGTAATCCCAGTCTATGACGTACCATGTTAATATGTAAACAAATATTTTTTTATGTGATTGTGATTCTTAATTCACACATAAACAATCATCTCTAAGTTTTAATGTTTTTCAAAGGCTTATGCAGATTACTCTCAATAACAAAACAATCATGACAAAACAATTGAATAGTTTGTCTAAAAGGCATAGCCGTGTCGTGAATTTGTGGGGCTCTGGGCTATTAAAGGAAGTCCCCCGTGATAGACGCACACGCGAAAGAGTACACCGACCGAAAACAAGCGACTGGGAATTCCCGATAGACGCGCATCGCACATGAGTAGATTGATAACAGAAATTCCAATCTTATGATTCGATTTTTTTTAATTCATGAATTTTTTTTTGTTCAAAATATTGCCTATTGTATTCAGTGGGAACTGGGGGCCCTTTGTATCCACAGGACCCTGGGCTGCAGCCCAAAAAGCCCCTGCTAAAGGGACCAGCACCCGTATGTAAATTCCAAGATCGATATTGACACCGACGTTTTTGTATACAATTTCGGTGTTGTTCTCTAAATTTCTGTAGCTAGTATTGCAGCCTGGCTTCGCGAGGCACAAGAACTCAATATTGAGATCAGGAACACTGACGGTTTTTCTATTGAAAGTTCCAGAACAGCGAGTGATTTATTGTTTTATTCAAAAAATTTACTGAATTTCGTCAGATATTTTTTACCTTTCAAATATATTATTATAAGATCTTAAAATAAATAGTTAACACTTAATACAAATGTAATTAAATAATTATTATCTTATTAATATTTTTAGTGTTCTGTTAAATAATGTATTTATTGCGATGTACATGATTTTAGACAATTTCCATCGAGCTATTTTAAGCATTTTGTCAAATATTTAACTTGAACATTTCCTTTATCCTCCCTCTTATTTCTATTTCAGTACACACGCATTCTTCGTAATAAGGATAAAATTTTCATGGATGGTTAAATTTGCTTAAACAGACTTAGGGAAATTTCGTTGTTGAAAGAAAGATAAATCTTTTTATTAACATTTAAATAAACCTGTTATATTGAGACACATAACATTCCGATTCACATTAAATTTAATATCTCTAGAGGAGTAGAGACTCTTGGGCCGCGGTGATCAAGTGCACAGGCGCTTAATGATTTAAGTTGGCACCTGGTAATAAGACCCGTGGTGATCCTACGGTGATCCTTCGCAGATCCTTCCGAAGGATCACCAACTGGGAAGATGCAATGACCAGAGCCAAAAGGCTTAAATGGAGATGGACAGGACACCTGCTCAGAGGCCAGAGAGCAAAATGGTCGAAAAAAGTCATTCAATGGACACCTCGCTACAACACCAAGCGAAAGAGAGGAAGACCATGTGCGCGGTATGCTGACTTTAAAAAAGCCACTGGTCCTCTGTGGCAAAGACTTGCCAGGGATAGGAAGCACTGGAAACATCTGGAGGAGGCCTTTGTGCCACAAAGGCAAGCTGTACAAGAGGACAGCTGTGCAACAAAACCTTCTTAAAGAACTTTTTATATACATTTATATTTTGTAAACTTCTCTTGTATTAGTTAAAATAAAGGCTTTGAATTTGAATAAGACCCGTGACCAGAGCTGGTGCTTTCCTCGCACAACGAATAAATATCGCAATACGGCGAGGATATGCTGCCAGCATTAAAAGTACAGAGGGACCAAACTTTTTAAATGCGTTTTGATTTATAAATGTTTAATTATAATTATTATTGTTACTGTGTAGGTAAAGAGCAGTGTTGGACTAGTGGCTTCAGCGTGTGACTCTCATCCCAGAGGTCGTAGGTTCGATCCCAGGCTGTGCACCGATGGACTTGCGGATGCGGATTATATATCATGCTAAAATTTCAGCTCGATCGGTGCAGAACTTTTTGAGTTTTTGAAGCGTACACAAACCAACATAACATTTATATATATATATATATATATATATATATATATATGTAGAAATGGCAGCCGATACCAGCGCCATTGCTCCGACATATGTAACGAAGAAGGTTCGTTTATTTATATTTGACTATTAATGCAAATCGCACAGCTATCATAGATGTATAAGTGAAATTAAAAGCTAGGTAGGCAACACATCATAGTAACTAAAACGGAAAACTACTCATTTACGAGGGTCAAAGATCACGCCACGTGTATAGATTAATTTTATGTCGTTTAGTAATATATGTTTACGTAAGAGAAAGCAATACCTATTACTGAAAAGTTAGAAAACGGTCGAGGTGATACGGGTGAAATTTCGTATTCTGCCTCGACGTCCGATGATGAAACTCAGCAGGAATTACTTTACATTGGGTACTACTTATATACTCTCGGGATGTGGGTGTAGTGATAGTTATGACTTTGTATAAAAAATCAGTGATACTTCAACCTCTTTAGGTCTAGGCCTCAGATTTCTGAATCTATTGCATGACCATTTTTCAATCTAGGTAATCATTCCAGTGCCGTCGACTATTTGGGTCTAAGACATGTCGGTTTCCTCACGATGTTTTCCTTCACCGTACGAGCGAATGTTAAATGCGTGCATAGAAAGAAAGTCCATTGGTGCACAGCCGAGGATCGAACCTACGACCTCAGGGATGAGAGTCGCTAGCTGAAGCCACTAGGCCAACACTGCTCATATGACTTTGTATATTACATTTATTTATAAGTTCTAAAATAATATGCTTAAAAAGTACAGAAAAAAATTAGAAATTAGAAATTGCATAAAAAATGCTATATTAAAACTAAACTCGATTAAAAACTCATTAAGTAAAAAATATTTAAGGTTACGCTATGTAAAAATACTTATAAATATCTCTATATTATTATAAATCGCATTTTTATTTAAAATTAATTTCATATATAAAGGACAAAAAGCCACCAGAATTATTTTTTATAAGTTTTGATGTTAGGACAACCGCGGTCTATATTCATAGATTATTATTTAATAATAAGATCATAAACAAATCTATAGATAATAAATAAACACATAATATTTTAAAGTTTAGTCTCTGTCACAGTAGAGGTAAATGAAATAAGTTAATAATGAGTAAGTTATAATTATGAAAATAAGAGTCAAATATAAGAGTTTTTCCTCCAACTTCGATTGTGTTCCCTTTGGAGTAGAGACTATTGAGTCTTGGGCCGTGGGATTTAAGTGCACAGGCGCTAATTAAAGTTTAAAGTTGGCGCCTGGTAGATAGTACCGGTTACCCCAAAGCTAATGCTTTCCTGGCTCAACGAATAAGTATACAGCACAACGCAATACAGCGAGGAAATGCTGCCAGCGTTAAAGGTACACTGCCACAGGGACCAAACTTTTTAAATTTGTTTTAATTTTCTATTTATTATTTTTTATTATACATACTGTTTAAAAATAAATAAATTATAATATCTAATAATGATTACAAAAATTAATCTGTAATAAACTAAATAAAAACATGTTTCCTATCAAAAGATAAACTACAATTTCCTCTGTCTACCTCGTAAATGCTTGACTGGTACAAATGAGTTTTCGGAAAAGATCATGGAATCTATTTCAACAGAACCAGCCAGCAATAAAAGTACAAATTGTTGCAACGTCTGTGCCCTGCAGCACGTCTGCATTTATACCTCGGCATAACGCCCTTCTCATAAATAATAATCACTCAATCTTGTAACATTGTGCTACAAAGTCCAATCTTTAGAGCCACCGTACATATATCAGCAAGTGATGATCTTCAACTGCTCGACAAAATTCTGACGAACAAATTTGTAAAAAACTTATATTTTATAAAACATACGTTCGTTAATACGTATACGTGTCTTCCGAAAACATAATAAGGAAGTGTTGGCCTCGTGGCTCCCCGGATCCCCGGCGACGCATTCGCTGGTATGGCGAAGGAAAACATCGTGAGGAATCTTGCTGAATAGTCAACGGCATGCATCAAGCCTGATCACTTTCCTTTTAGAAAAACAAATGATCACGAAACAAACATGGCAATCTGAGGACCAGACCTAAGAAGTCAGAGAACACCAGTTTTGTGATGATCTTGTATTTAAAGCTCGATAGAACAGTCTACTTAAAATCATAAAAACAAAATGTCCCAGGAAAAACAGCTCATGATTTCACCGGCGCGGCGCATGGA